CACATTTAACTTTACAAACAAAAGTGCAGGTATAAAGTCTGCAGAATAGTATTTATTTATTTATTTTATTTGATTTTGTTTCGTTTCGTTGCTATTTTGATTGGCCGGTTAGCATGTGACAATCACTCAACATTTGTGTAACCATTTTCCAAATTTGGGACGTTCACCCCTGTTTATGTAAACGATTGTTTTTTTTCCTACCCCATCCGGAACCGATGGAACGGTATTTTTGCGTGAATTACATATGTAAAAAACATAAAAATAAAAATAAAAATAAAATAAAAATTTAACTTTAAGATATATGTAGTTAACCTAATTTTTTTCTTTTTTTTTTTTTTTACTAGAATGTTAATAAGCATTTATATACTATATATTGGCAAAATACATATAATTTTTAATTTAATATTAAAATAAACTTATTCTTCTTTTAATGTATATATTTACTTATAAATTTAAAAATAAATTAATATATAAGTTAAGAAACACCAAGGCTTCAAAATCTATAGTAATTTTATATGTTTTTTTTTTATTATAATTTTATAAAATTTACTATATATATAATTAATGTGACAATTCATGTGACTGGTAATTTAGTTTTGCAAATCTACGTCTTAGTGGTTTTTTGGGCTGAGATTCTCGTTGTTCTTGTATTGCAGATGGTAACCAAGTAGGTAGCGAACCCCTTCTGTGATGTGGTGATACTAGTAAGCGTTGGCGATGAAATATCCGTGGCCGGTTACCATCTGAATGATGTTCGTTGTTAGGCTGGGATATTGCTTTCAAACCTTCTTCTTTCTTGCGTTCAAATAAATCTCCAAAACTAGAATATGATGAGCATCCGTCCAAAGAATCAACTTCTCCTATGCTAGATCCTTCTTCCGCATAAAATGATGATTCTGGCGAAATGCTTGATAGTTCCGAACTCGATGTTGATAATGGCGTGCCATATCGAAGATCTGGCATAGACATAGTATCATAAGGCGTATTCTCTGGAAGGATATTTAATGGCCGGTGATCCGTAATAGGCATTTTTTCTGATGTTCCCTTTGGGAATTCTTCTTTTTTCTTAGTACTACTGAGCCATTTTTGCAATGATAATTGATGAACGATAGATGGTAAATCTTCCTGAAACATTGTTCTCAATCTTTTTTCGATTTCTGACTGCAAAAACCTTTGTATGCTTGAAATGCTGTCAAAAGTTGAAGTAACATCGACCTTTTCCAAAGGATCATTTTTGAAAACTAATGTGATCCCTTTTTGCTTGCTAACTACCAAAACGATGATACCCCGTAGTTTCAAGTTGCTTAACCTTAGAAGCATAGGTACTACAAGCGGTTGATCCGCCGCAAGAATTCCCCTTCTAGTATACATACTCAAATCAGATTTATTGCTATTCATCGGATTTGCCTGGCCAAGGAAAAAAAATTATCATCAAAATAAAATCAAATAAAATAAAAATAAAATCAAATAAAATAAATAAATAAATACTATTCTGCAGACTTTATACCTGCACTTTTGTTTGTAAAGTTAAATGTG